GGCATGAGAATCGCTTGAACCCAGGGGGCAGAGGTTGCGTTGAGCCAAAATTGCACCATTGCACTCCAGCCTGGGCAACAGAGCAAGACTCTGTCTCAAAAACAAACAAACAAACAAAACAAATCAATAAAACCTCTTAACTAACTTACGTGTCTATTTTATCTTCCATTCCAGCAAGCCATAGTATTTATATCACTACTATATACATCCTAACTTCAAAAATAGCTTTCACTGGCTGGGCAAGGTGTTTCATGCCTATAATCCCAGTACTTTAGAAGGCTGAGGTGGGTGGATCGCTTGAGCTCAGGAGTTTGAGACCAGCCTGGGCAACATGGTGAGACCCTGTCTCCACAAAAAGATACCAAAAATGAGCCAGGTGTGGTGGTGCATGCTTGTAGTCCCAGCTACTCAGCGGGCTGAGATGGGAGGCAGAGGTGAGAGGATTGCTTGAGCCTGGAAGGCAGAGGTTGTAGTGAGCCAAGATCATGCCACCACACTCCAGCCTGGGCAACAGAGCAAGACCCTGCTCCCCCTCCAAAAAAAAAAAAGTTTTTGCTGATTTTGCCACGAAGTTTCCTTTATAGAAACTACATAGAGCAATTCTAAAAGTATAACTGCCAACAAGGAAGAATATTAACTTGTAAAAAGTCAGGGATTCTAGCACAGAAGTATCAGAATTATTCTAATTACTATATAAGTAAGATGACCTGTCATCTTCCCTGTTGCAGGCACTGAGGAGTGAAACATGTAAAAATTAAAGACTTTCACATTAACTATTCAGCCAACAAATTCTGCATATTCAACATGTCACCAAATAAGAGAGTCAAGTTAGGTTTCAATCTAACAGCGCTAGCCCACATATATACCTCTGATTGTAACTTAGATTAAGTTTTAAAAGTTCTTACTGTGCACCCTGAAGCCAAAGCTGCAGCTCTGAAGCAATCTTCTGCCTTTTTGGTCAAAACTTGAAGTTCTTTCATTGAAGGTGCACGGAAGTAATAGATTAATTCAGAATAAGAGGGAATGATATTGGGTTTTACACCACCATTTTTTATTATACCTATAAAAAGAACCAAATTACTAGAATTAAGCTTGGTGACCATTTATTTAAGCTTAAATACACCCATTAAGTTTTTCAGCCAATATGTTCATAAAGAAAAATAATTTAAACTTACTACCTCCACCAATATACCAAAGATTTTGATACGTTGTACAACTGAAATTTCTGTACATAGGGTGATATTTTTTGACTGATAAGAAAAAAATAATTACCCATATGTACTTCATTCAAAGGAATTTATATAATGTTAAGAAATTATGTTACAGACTATAATGAAACTTAAAAATTACATAACCACACACACACACAAAAAACTTAGTAACATCTTAAGCTTTCTGGAAAAGATTTTACCATACCTCCACAACGGTATGAGGTTCTATAATTACCCTCCTACCTCAGGAATCCCATGAACATTTTAAATGGCATTTAGCTCTAGAAAAATAATTTTCATGCCAAGGAAAAAACCAATGCAGGTCAAAGATCACTAAGTATTATCAACTGTCAAAACAAATGCATTTATTTAGAATTATAAAGAATTAAGATTTATTCATTTGAAGTCATAACTAAAATAGATACGAAAAATCCAATGTCATATGACCTACTTTAAAAAAATATTTCTACACATTCCTGTTTGTTCCTTTTAAAGAAACTAAGGCAGGAAAACTGGTAAAAGTACAATTACAAATTGACCTCAGGCTATGGCAAAATCAGGTAAAGAATAGATACCAATATATAACAATTTCCTAAATCATAAGGAAATAAATTAAAAAACAAAAGTGTGCCTCCAAGACAGTACTTTATGACTGTATTTATATTATGGTGACATATGTATAATTTTAAAAGACACTATTCAGAACCAGGCTTGGTGGCTCACACCTATAATTCCAGTACTTTGGGAGGCTGAGGTGGGCAGATCACTTGAGGCCAGGAGTTTGAGACCAGCCTGGCCAACATAGCAAGACCCCATCTCTGCAAAAAATACAAATATTAGCTGGGTGTGGTGGTACTTGCCTGCCTGTAATCCCAGCTAACTGGGAGGCTGAAGCAGGAGGATCACTTGAACCCAGGAAGTGGAAGTTGCAGTGAGCCGAGATTGCACCACTGCACTCCAGCCTGGGCAACAGAGCAAGACTGTCTCAAAAACAAAAAAACACTCAAAAAAAGATATTACTCAGGACTAACAGCACTTAAATAAAACTAGCAGTTACTATACATTTTTTTAATTGAGGAAGTGACAAAATTTGGTTATCATTAAGAAATAATGAGGACAACTGGAAAATCAAGATCCAATTTTCAAACACCCACTGAAAGAACACAGTTCCTTACATAAAACCTTTATCTTTGATACACAAAGATGACATTCCATTTATGTACAATAATCGAAACTGTCTTTCTACCCATATATCTTAGTATCCTATCACATTAATTTCTGAAAATATGCTTAAAAATCAGAATATTCATATGAAGTACAAAAATATTTCCAAATTTTTAAAAATTGAATATTAAATAATTATACTGCACTGAACTCTAGTAAGCACCATCTATTATAGAAGGTATTTGACATTCATACCATGAACTCTCCAGGTTGGTTTCATTTGCTGTCTGAACACAGACACATTGTTATAGGCCAGCACAGCAGCATCTAATGCATTTAATCCTTCCCAGGGATAAGCAGCAGAATGAGATGCTTTTCCATAGTATTTCACAGTCACACTAGGAAATGAAAAATCATTTGAAATTACTTTTCTTATTTATTGCTAAAGTAGTCAGAATTACCCAACTACTATTCAAAATTAATTCACATTGCTGGACTTTTGATGTGCAAATTATTTGTAGTAATAACACTACAATTTATTTATGTTAGATATAGTTTATTATTAGGTAACATAGTGCTTGACACAAAGAAAGCATTCCCAAAAAAGAGAGAAAAAGAGAACAGATTAAATGTATACACAATTTAATTCAAACAAACATGCAATATGGTATCAGGTGCTGAAATTACCAAAATTAAAAAAAAATGGATCCTGTGTGTTTGTACACAGCATTGTGATGATTCTGTATCAAAAGTCTGCAAAAAATCAGAAATTCTGTCTGAAGAGGTGGAAGGTCAGGAAAGACAGAAAGGAGTTACTATTTGAAGTGGGTTAAGACAACCTCTGAAAATCAGATTATATTCAATGTTATCACAAGATACCCTAGTATTAAAGCAGTATCTGATATTTTATTAATGTTCCAAAATGCCTATATCACTAATATTTTACATTTTTATAAATTGTTACTCCACTTACAAATAGTTCTCACACCAGTCTAACTGCTCTAATACAATAAAAAAAAAAAAAAACAAGATTAGAGAAAGGATTGCGTGTTGAATAGTTACTTATAAAGCTCTGTGATTGACTTGCCTAGACAACACTTTTTAAGCCTGATTAATAGTACCCACATTTAGATGATTAAAAAACCAATCTGGACTTATTTTAATGGGTTAGATTCAGAAGTCCTTAGAATGCTTACGATACTTCTTAACTGATTCCAGACATTTTATTAGCAGGACAAAAATCAAGTAAAAATATCAAACATGTATTAGATTTCAGGATACTGCATTGTTATTTCCTTGATATATATCTTATCACCATGACCTTGAAATGAATTTTTTTTTGGATACTCATCTTGCTCTGTCACCCCGGCTGGAGTGCAGTGGCGCGATCACAGCTCACTGCAGTCTCAACCTCCCAAGTTCAAGCAATCCTCCTCTGCCTCAGCCTCCCACAGATGAATAGCTGAGACCACAGGAGTGCTCCATGCCCAGTTAATTTTTTATTTTTTTGTAGAGACAGGATCTCACTATGTTGCCCAGGTTGGTCATGAACTCCTGGGCTCAAGAGACTCTCCTGCCTTGACCTCCCTAAGTGCTGTGATTACAGGTGTGAGCCACCTGGCCTGGCAAAACTGGAATTTTATCACAACTGGTGATAAACATTACAAAAACAAAAAGGATTATATGGAATTATTTTCAAGCATACTATTTAATTTTAAAAAGCCAGAACAATATATTGAGTGGAATACTTGAGGAAAACCTTCTTTCACAATTTAATTTACACAGGATTCTATTTATGTCCCATAAGTACACCAAGAACACTCTGAAAAGGATACATACCTCTAGAAAAACGACTGGATTTGGGAAAGGTGGTCAGCAGGATTGCTTTATCTTATTCATTAGAAATTTTTGGTCGGGCATGGTGGCTCATGCCTGTAATTCCAACACTTTGGGAGGCCATGGCGGGTGGCTCACTTGAGGTCAGGAGTTCAAGATCAGCCTGGCCAACATAGTGACCCTGTCTCTACTAAAAATACAAAAATTAGCTGGGTATGGTGGTGCTCACCTGTAATCCCAGCTCCATGGGAG